CTTCGGCAACGAGGTTCATGAAATCAGCTGCTAAATGTGTCCATTTCCATTTTAATCCCTCTAGACTTTTGATAAAACGAATTGTTTTTTGAATAATATTTAAATATTCAGACACTACCTCACAGGAAGCCGAGCACAGTGACCATGCGGTCTAATGTATGAACTGTCTTCACTCTCTTGAACACTGGAGTCGTGGGTTTGGATCCCACTCAAGGAATGGATGTATGCTTGTGATTATTCTGTGTTTCTGTTAGGTAGAGGCTTTGCGACGGCCTTATCCCCCGTCCAGGGAGTCCTATCGACTGTCTGAGATGAAGAAAGTGAAGCGAAATAAATTGTTTCACGGATATCCTATGCTCCAAGTGGGAGCAACAGGAGCAGAAGGAGAAGAAGAAGAAGACGTCACAGGAAGTACATTGGGTCTACATTAGAAATACCAATTGTTTGGGGAAAGAATTGTTTTTTTTCGGAGTCATATGAAATTCTTATAAACATTTAAGGACAATTTTGTTCTCTTTATAATCTTTTATTCTAGCATCCTGCAGGTATATGCACTGCAGAAGCTAGGTTAAGTCGTCCCTATGCATGACTAATTAAGCACTACGCCATGAAGACGTATGGGGAGAGGATGTATAGATCCACATTTTCTTGACCTCAGCACTAGATGAAGGTGAGCGGTCAGCTTCACGCCCCGGTCGCTCTACCCCTTGGGAAACAGCATCTGGTACCCGTTGGATAGGAAGCTGGGTGGGCTACAGAGCCGCCCTGGAAGAGGTAAGGAAGAGAAAATTTCTTACGCTAGCGGGTCTCGAACCTCGATTCCTCATACGTCCAGCCCCTAGCCACAGCACATTAATATTAAATAAAACCTATATATATTAAATTATTTAAACAGGAAAAGATTTGGTTTCTTAATTTAATAAAATTTCGGTTGCACAGCCCTCACAAGCTATATTATCACGTGTTGGGTGTATAACGCGACAGGTAACTTCACGCTGTATTCGATATAGCAAATTTTATTTCACACTCGCTCTTACAATCACACGATTTACAATCTCACAACTACTTCCATTGGCAGTATCACAAATTATCGCATCAAATCTTCTAACCACGCTTTCGGGTCTTATTTCCGCGACTGCTGTCTGCTACACTTCAACTCGTAACTCTCCGCTGGCTAGATTCCAACTATATGTCTGTGTAGGCAGTATAGCTCTCTTACAAACCTTCAGCCGGACAACGGGAAAACGCCTTACTTCCTTGTTGCCTAGTCTCGTGTTTACCGATAGCCTAGCAATGCTATTGGGAGTTGTTTACGGCTACGTAGCAACTGCGGCGTCCTGTGTTACGTCACCGCGGCAGAGGCGGGGTATTGACTGGCTTTGCTTAGCAACCACCGTTTACTCGCTTTGCCTAGCAACCAGCGTGCCTGGACTCGGCTCCGCTTGGCAGGTCACCGCTGGGGGGGGAGGGTGTTGACCTGTCTCTTACCGTAGCGCAACACGTCACACTGCTCCCTCCTTAAGGCTGTTCGTCCCGAATAGCCTAACGGTGCTTCCCTGTTCCTTTTCTTTCAAGGATGTGCTTTCTGCGTCTCCTGGTATTTCGGTTATTCCTTGCAGGTGACTGTTCTCCGGCCGTTACAACCGCTCCCCTCTTAAGACCAGCTCGTCTCGAGAGGTTTCCAGCTAGCTTGCCAGATGATCCAGTTGTATCACATTCATTCGTCGGACATTCACTCTTCCTCGGGAGGCCGGTACTTCTACCTTACCGGTTCCTCCTCTACCCGTAGTTTCTTTTTTCTTTTTGGAGGGGCCTACCCCTCCATAAGGTCCAATTCTTGATCATTTCTTTCTGTGTTGCTCGCTGAATCATGGCCCTGGTGCGGTTTCTTCCAACGACGTTTTCCTTCTGCTGGCCCACTTTCACACGGCGGTGTTGCACTGAGAACTGACTTCTTAGGAATGCCAGTCTCTCCTGTAAACCCTTGCACGGACACATGGAAAACACAGTTTGCTCTACTGTTACGTAATCGCCGTGTCTACAGAGGCACTGCGCAGCAATGCATTGATTTGCTGTCGCCAAAATATGTTTACTGCAGCACTGCCTAGCAACGAACGCGGTGTGGTTCGCCTCGGCACAGAGAAAACACTGTTTTCCTTATTGTTGCGTAATTGCCGTGTTTACAGATTCCTGCACGGCGTAAATATGCCACAATAATATTAGAAAAACTAAATATTTAAGTTTACTCTTTTGGAAACAGGTAAATAAAATACATATGACCGTAAGCTGCTTAAAATATTAAAAAAGCGCACTTCCAGCATCTGTAGACATTCCTTGCACTAAAAATCATTTAGCGACTTTCTTTTAAATACAGGTAACATCAAATAGTTTTTGTACCACTACCTAACATGGAAATGGAACACTGGAGATGTCTGGGATCTGATGGACTAGTTTAAGTTGTAACTATTAAAACTAAATCTGGAACTTATACAAGACCAGTACGCAAGCTCTGTCCTTACCCAGAACACTCTTTTGAATCACTATTATGCACTGGTATGCTTGTTGTAGGAAGGTTAATGTATCAACTTTGCACAGGGAATGTTACATGGTTTGAATTGCTTGCCAGCACAGGATAGTAGTCATCCAGTAGTCAACCACAGTGACTGAACCCACCACCGTGTGAATATACACTTCTGACAACATTACAACCAGAACTTCCAGTTTTCATCTTTCACCTTGGAGATAATGCAGTATAGTTCTCCAAGTCATAAGTTTCTTGCATACTAAAGAACATTCCCAAAAAAAACTAATTACTGTGAGAAACTCAGATCATAAAGCTCAGTCTTACCTACACTTTGTGCTGATAAATCTGCAGGATGGGCATAAATAATACCTGATGCTGAAAGTGTTCTAGCGCTCTCTCCGCATTTTTATGATTATTCATTATACAAATATGTATCATTCTGTCTATATGTTCACTATTTTACACAACACTTAAATTGTGGTTTCAATTTAATATATAAAACAAATCTTTCTCCTTAAACGGGCTCCACCACGTCTAAAAAGTCAATCAAAATAGAACTTTTTAATAGGTGTGAAATCTACGAATAATGGACATTGCTAGTAATATTGTCGCGTGCTGGGTGTATAACGCGACAAATAACTTCACGCCGTATTTGATATAGCGAATTTTATTTCACATTCGCACTTACAATCACCCAAATTACAATCTGACAATTACTGCCATCGGCAGTATCACAAATATTACACTACAAATACCAGAATACAACTGACTGGTTGCTGGCTAACTCGGAACTCTCTCGGAACTAACTCGTAGGTAGCTGACTTGAGAACTGTTGATAACACACTGACTCTCGCTTGCTGCTCAGACGGCTTTTATTCCGTTCACTGTTGCTAGCGTCGTCTATCGCAACCACTGTTTATCCGCGTTGCATAGCGACCAGTGAGCTGGGATTCGGCTCGCTTCGGCTCCGCTCGGCACGTCACCGCCGCCGGGAGGGGGGGAGTGGTGTCCTGCGTAGCGCGACAAGTAGTAACGAGAGCGCTACGTTACCGCCACGTGCCGCTGGGGAGGTAGGGGTCCTCCGTTGCGCAACATGTCATAATATTGTCGCGTATCGGCTGTATATCGCGACAAATAAATTCTCGATGTATTCGATGTAGCGAATTTTATTTCACATTCGCACTTACAATCACCCAAATTACAGATTTACGATTACTGCTATCTGCAGTATCACAGTTAGTACACTCCAAATGCCAGAATACAACTGACTAGTTGCTGGCTAACTCGGCCTAGCTCCAGGACTCACTGATTGACTCAGTACAACTGACTGTGAATAGCCTTCGCTGCTCCTGATGTAGCCTCGACCGGACAATACCCTTGTTGCTATGTCGCTGTGTTGCTATGTAACGCTAGCGGAGGTAACCGCTGTTACTATCGTAACGTCGCCGCTGTTGACTCGCGTTGCCTAGCGACCGCGATATCCCTCGGTGACGTCACCGCGGAGGGGAGTGGCGGGGCGGGAACTCGCCTATTACCGCAAGAACGCGAGCGTTACGTTACCGCTGGGGAGGTAGGGGTCAACATGTCACAATATTATTATCAAGCAATCACACCTGTAGTTGCTCAGAGCTCTGAAACAGCTGCTGTTTAATTTTGTATAAATCATGACAAAAATTTCTGTTCTTATACTGTGGTTACATGAAACAATCACTACATTTTTATTACCAGTTTAAAGTATAGTAACATTGAAAAAATCGTGTCAAATTGGGGTAATATATTTCAGCTAAAATGTCAATATATTTTCCTCAAATGGAGCAAGTTCCTTGTCAGGCATACTCACTTTCATTCTGCTTTTTCACTTTTATAACAAAAATAAGGCCTATAGTATCATGTCCATGTGCATGTCTATGTGTCACTCTCACTCATGTTATGCTTAACAATTTTCGAAAAGAGACAAAGTAAGTTACACTGATGGAAATTTTACCTAAAGATATAACATTAAATAGTATAATTACCAGCACTTCCAATATAATTTTTATATAGATGGAAGACTTTAAAGGAAAGTTGGTACTGTAAGTTCTTTCCACAGTTTCTTGTTATTTATCTTGCCTTTTAATAACAGCATTTCTTTCCTCTTGAAATATAAATGATCGTTCTATATCAGAGTGTCTACTAATCATATAGACAGGTTCAGAACCAAAAAATAAAATCTCTGCCTCTAAATTCATCTAATTTAATAGTGGTGTGATGAAATGCAAACTGTTTTAATTACAAGCAATCAGTACTCATGACTATGATACAGGCAAACCTGGAAGTGTATTTACTGCTCAGTCACTTGCCAATTTCATGCAGTTCAGTTTTCTTATTATTCATATGCACAAAACAGTTTTCTTGTCGAACTCCCCAGTGACTAACAGCATACATCTTGCAAGAATACATTACATCTAACTCACTGGGGTTATAAACCAGAGAGATATCAATAAAGCTGGTTAAAATATGTTGTAGCACCATCTCTCCATGATGGGTCATCTACAACTTTAGCCCTACAGAGAGGGCATGTCTGCTCCCTGTCAAACCACGTAGCAATGCATGCTTCACAGAAGATGTGACGACAATGTAGGAGAACTGGAGTTTCATATTCATCGTGGCAGATTGGGCACTGACTGCCAGCTGTTTGTAGCTGGTCTTTGTTTGGGCTCACACCAAGATTCACATTCTGCAGCAACTTCCAAAAAGCACCTCGCCAGAGTTTCACTCTGTTCACAAGGTCAGTTCCCTTGGACACCATATATGCTGCAGACAGGAATACTCCAACAACTTTGGCAGTTCCCTGATAAGATCCAAGCAGGTAATATAACCATGGCTGGATTGGGGCAAGGCTCCGATATAGCTGAGATGTGGTTTCTAAAAACAAGTAGCACTTTCCCCTTTTCTGGTAGGGTAGAAGAAAAACAGGAAGTGCTGCAATGGAAACTTTTAGGATTATTGTGACTAACTTGAGTACAAAGTCTGTGACACTCACAATCCACAGTAGCACTTTCCCCTTTTCTGGTAGGGTAGAAGAAAAACAGGAAGTGCTGCAATGGAAACTTTTAGGATTATTGTGACTAACTTGAGTACAAAGTCTGTGACACTCACAATCCACAGTACATCCCAAACGCTGAGAGGCTGTGTGTATGGAGGAATGAAGACCAGACTCAGATAGAGCTTCTGGTCTTGGAACATGTAGTAGATGAACAGAATGCATCCTAAGAGATTGCAGACAATCAGTAACAAAGATGACAGCCTACGCCGACTCTGTTTGGCAATCTCCCGCTTTACCACTGCATTAGTATGAGCAAAGGTGATAAACAAACCAATGAAGAGAAGAATACCTGAACGATGATCATAGGTGCCTTTGGTGAGAAGAATACCCAGGAATTGCAGTAGGGAAAGGGACTCTTTTGTTCCTGGACTATGACGCAGCATTTCTGCAGCACCTCCTTCCACATTATTGTTATTGTTGTTGTTGTTGTTGTTGTTGTTGTTGTTGTTGTTGTTGGGTTGGTGCTGGTCTGTATGGTGTGCAGCCGCAGCTTCTCGGATGTTGTTAAGGAAATTTCCAGCAGTTGTAGTGTTGGATGTGCCAGCCATGTTGGTATTCTGCTGCCGCTGACGGTGGTGGTGATGGTGATGAGAGTTTGAGGCTTGCGCTGTGTTGGCTGTAATCACAAAGCTATCACCAGATGAGGACTGAGTTATGGGAACATTCTGCAGCCGCTGGTGTGATCTAGATGGCAGTGGTGGCGGCTGTTGTGATCTAGGTGGCAGCGGTAGTGGCTGCTGTTGGCGCTGCATTTGTTGTTGAGGTGTCCGAAGCCATACCAGAGAATGAACACGATTTCCTGCAGTTCTTATATCTTCCATCATTGGTCGCAGCTCTTGAATCACTGTATGAAGACTGTCTTGTAAGATTCTCCGCCCTTCAGCAGTATAACGCTCCAACTGAACTCGACCAATACCAAACCCACTCAGTGGGCCTGGAGGAGTATTCAATGAATGAGCCATTCGAAGATGATTACCCTGACGACCACTCAATAGTGAGGATGCTCTCGGAAGGCGACTTCTCAAAATTGGGATTCGTGATGATCTGCTAGCATCAGAATGTGCCATGCCTTCTCGGTTATCACACACGCGTCCGGTTCTTCTTTCCGCGCCTGCTGTTATATCTCAACCAACTGTCTTCGGCGGCTGCTACACTTCAACTCGTAACTCTCCGCTGGCTAGATTCCAACTAACTGTCTGTGTAGGCAGTGTAGCTCTCTTATAAACCTTCAGCCGGACAACGGGAAAACGCCTTACTTCCTTGTTGCCTAGTCTCGCGTTTACCGATAGCCTAGCAACGCTGTTGGATGTTGTTTACGGTTACGTAGCAATTGCGGCGTCCCGTGTTACGTCACTGCGGGAGAGCCGGGTGTTGACTGGCTTTGCTTAGCAACCGCTGTTTACTCGCTTTGCCTAGCAACCAGCGCGCCTGGACTCGGCTCACTTAGGCTCCGCTCGGCACGTACCGCTGGCGGGGTGGAGGGGAGGGTGTTTATCTGCCTGTTACCGTAGCGCAACACGTCACAATATTTTTAAAATGCAGTATAACAATTTACGCAAATACATCATATATACTTGATGATGGCACTGTGTGGCCGCAACATGTCAGGAAGTTACATGAAAGCATGGAATAGGTGGTGACCGGACCTCTAATCTGTTAAGTTGCATTGAAGACTGCATTACGTGTGCATATGCAACTGTACACAAAGCAGGTGGTACATATATTAACCGCTATAATCTGAAGAGTTAATGTTGCATGTGTTGCACACAGATTTCACCTTCACAGGTAAAGGTAAAGATAAAGATATCCCTGTGCTTAACTAATTAAGCACTACGCCATGAAGCTGTATGGAGAGTGGATGTATAGATCCACGTGTTCTTGACCTCGGCACTAGTTGGAGGTGGACAGCTTCACGCCCAAGCCGCTTTACCCCGGGGAAAGAGATCCCGGTATCCATTTCATAGGAGGTCCCAGAGACGGTCTGGACGACATAGAGAAATGAAAATTCTTACACCCTCCGGGGCTCGATCTCCGACCCCTTGGTCGTCCGGCCCTTATCCAGTCGCTATGCCGACTGTGCTATCCCAGCTCCCACCTGCACAGCTACAATATTTATTTTATTTTGTTTAACGACGCTCTTGTGAGCTCAGTATCTACAGCGCTGAGGAATATAATGGTTAAATTTGGAAATGTTGTGGAAGGAAAAGGTCGTAGCCTAATTTAAGGTATTATCACGGCATTGATATTGATGAACTGAGGAAAACCATGATAGCCAGTGTCCCTGCCGAAAAACAGACCGGCCACGTTCCCAATAAATGCCAGAACAGTTAGCTCTTCAGTGAACTTGCTGGGTTCCGCCCAACTCTGTGGAACCATTAAGCATGCGCTCGTACATGCAGAAGGAAGTAATTCAATCCATTAATGGGCCCACAAATAAATTTTATCCTAAAGTTTCGTTTCATGTACAGTAGATATTTGTAGAAAGCGGCTTTGACTAGACGCTAGGACCACTGTTTCCTTTTATACGGACAAGATTTGCTTATACGCGGTCCACGCTTGCGTTAGATTGTGTAGCCGAATAACATCGATCTATTATCGTTTCTATTTAAGCTTACTGGAACTTCTCCGGTCTAGAAAGCAGAAATTAACGGCCACGGGGATTTCTTGCGCTGACCACGCGACACCCTCTATCCGCAAAAGTTGGCACTACTAAATTTCGCCGACAAGCGGCGGTCGCTCGGTCGGTATAGCTCGCTTGCGAACTAAAATTACGGAGTTTTTTTTTTTTACTGGAACTTCTGCGATTTCAATGATTTGAGATGGTGTTATTTCACAGTTCTACTGAAGAGTCTGAGTAAATCCACGAGAACATTTATTTAGGGAAATCCAGGCGACAGCGTAGGCCTATTTCAAGAGTGGATTGTTTCTGCGTTTATATTTTTTTCCATAAGTGTACGGTATAAGGGAAATGCCCATATCAATTCACTGATATTTCGTCTCTATGAAACCACCTACGATTTAATGCATAAAGTAATCCATTTAATTTTTACAGACATTATCACCAAGTCTTTTCTGTTTTATAAACTGAATTTAACCACAGCTAAGAATAATTCAGTTTAGAATGGCACTCAAGATCGTGGCATAATTCAGGTGGTAGTCACCGGGTTCAGACAGTTGCGACCCACGTTCCATCCCAGATCAGGTCACGTGGGATTTGTTGAGGTCAATATGACACTGGGATAGGTCTTCTGCAAGTATTTCGGTTTCCCCTCCCAATTCTCATTCAACCAAGTGCTCTACATTCATTATCAACCTATCCGATGCTGGCAGCTTCGTTGAGTAACATAATAAATAAATAAATAAATAAATAAATAAATAAATAAATAAATAAATAAATAAAGTATTCCATGACGAGCTTTGGCAATAATAACGTTGAATTTGAATTATATTAGGAGAAAAATAATAATTACCGTATTTACGCATGTATAGGCCGCAGCACAATTTTCAGACAGAAATTATAGAAAAAATAATTTTCTTGGAATATTATTTCAGGAGTAGAAATTATTCCGAAATTTGGCAACGTTAATTTTTTTTAAATGAAGTGTGATTTCGAATATTTCGAATATAAGCCGCACCCCAGTTTTCCTCTTGAATTTTTGGCAAAAAATGTGCGGCCTATACATGCGTAAATACGGTAATATACTGAGAAGTGTGGCTGAATTTCCAGTCAGTTTTTTTATTAGGGTTCACCGCTGAGCTTGCTTCCGGACAGGGAACAATGGCGGGTCTTGCGAATATGGAAAAGAACCTACATGAAAACGGGCAATTTCTTCATTAGGTAGCATCTGAGATTCTCACGACTATGGAAATGAAGAATCCTATCTTCTGAGATAGGAATAATGCAGTCCGTTCAAAGTCGACCGATGTTTCGGAGGAATATATTACATTCTCGAAATGTCGATGACTGTCAACAGATTATGCGGTGTTTTATCCCAGAAGAGAAGACTCTTAGCTTCTTGACTGTTACCGACTCTTAGCTTCCCAAGAAATGTTCTGATCCCTGGAATTAATTAGTTACCTAATTCGTAACGGTTATTATGCCTGGAAACTCGGTTAACCCGACAGAGCATTCAGGTTTCTCATTCGTCCAACCACAAGGTACAGGAATTTTATTTTGAAATCGGAGTACATCTTGATTGGTTCTCCATATATCTCTCCCAAATAATCATTCATAATCAGTCTTCCATAAACCCAAGTCATTCAATGATACATGAGCAAACCGATGTATGAAACATCGCAAAATAATCTCAAAGAAGTGATACAAACACATCTGTTATTATAAATGCACCACTGAAATTATTATGGTTTAAATGATACAAGTTACCTCATTTCATCTTTTGTTTGTGTCTGTTTTCTTCCTCTTTTCGCTCTTACTCTCTTGTAAACGGCTATTCGATCTGATGAGTAAACAGCTAAATATATAAATAATCTATTATTAATATCTTTTTATTACTATTATTATTATTATTATTACTAACATACACAACTAAGATATAACGAGATGAGAAGCTTCGTAATTTTTTATTACACTTTTGAGGAATTAAATGAAGCAGAATGCTAAAGTGAGACCGCCTCTGTGGTCTAGTGGTCAGAGTTCCTGGCTACAGCTCCAGAGGTCTCGCGTTCGATTCCCGGCACTACCAGATTTTCTGAGAAATGGTGGGTCTGGAACGGGGTCCATTCAGCCTCGTGAGGATAACTGAGGCGCTGACCACGCGACACCTTCTATCCGCTAAAGGTGGCACTAACTTCGCCGAAAAGCGTCGGTCGCTCGGTCGGTATAGTTCGCTTGCGGACTAAAACCAAGGAATTTTTTTTTTCTTTGAAGGCTAAACTGTATGGACATGTAGAATGCAATTGGGGAATGAGAAACAGGTCTGAAGGCCCAATTTTGATCAGAAAACTTAAAGAGAATAAATATATCCTTAGGGAGTTGTAGCCTTACGAGCATTAAAACATAAAAATAGAGGATGGAGAAGATTCAGCTGACTCGGGACATGGTCCAGCAGCAGACTACTGTACTGTGATTAACCATCCAGGTCCGTATGTCAGGATATACACTGACCGAGTGAGGTTCACTGTGCGAGGCAGCCAGTCGGGCCCTGCTCCGCCACCTGGGAGTGCCGCCGTAACATTCGTCCGGCGCTGAATTGACTTCAAGTGGTCTGCTGGAAGATTAGAAGCTCCACTTCTCTTCTCGCCCACCTCAGAGCTTCGAGTGCCCGCCCGACAGGCAGGTACAGCGCTGTCTATTGACCGAGGAGAAAGTCACAAACCGCAAAATGAACAGATATGGAACTAGGAGGCTCGTCACCGGCATTACAAAAGCTGGTATTTGCCAGTACCAACCAATTCACATATTCGTAACATATTCCTATAAGATTCCCATGAATATTACCCTCCCACCAAGAGGGTTAGTACAGTGGCATCGTATCTGTCACATATGAGGCATACCAGGTTCGATCCCAGTTTAGTTAATGTCTCCTCGGTGAGGGGTTAGTGTTGCCTTAGCCCCATTCGACTAATACTGATACAGTACTTACTTACTTATGGAGCTGATCCCTTCTTGAGAGAAGCCAAATCTGCAGCTACTCAAGAATTTCCCAGCATTTTATGGAACCCGAAGGTTCATTACAGTCTTCAGAAGAGCTCTCCACTGGCCCCTATCCTGAGCCAGATCAATCCAGTCCATATCATCCCATCCTATCTCTTTAATTTCCATTTTAATATTGTTCACCCACTTACGCCTTGATCTTCCCAGTGATCTCTTTCCTTCTGGCTTTCCCACCAATATCTTATATGCATTCCTTTTCTCCCCCATTCGTGCTACATGACCTGCCCATCTCATCCTCATTGACTTGATCATTCTAATTATACTTGGAGAAGAGTACAAGTTATGAAGTTCCTCGTTAGCAGTTTTCTCCAACCTCCTGTCACTTCATCTCTCTTCGGTCCAAATATTCTCAACATCCTGTTCTCAAACACCCTCAGTCTAGTTAGTTAGTTA